TTTAATGATAGAACCTGCATTCCATGATAGATATCTGAAATTTACCGTGCAAATAAATACTTCAGAAGTTGTTTTCAGTTAAGTGTAAAAAGACAGGCTATGCCTTTCCTTTCCTATGCTAATATGGTTTCACTGTGACCATGTTACATGCAAAATCAGATTTGCTTGGTTGACCAACACAATTAAAGCAAGCAACCCCATAAATGCAGCATCCTCAGTATTATACGAGAAATACACAAGAAGCAAATGTTTTTTTGGTGATATATTTTATTGGGTCAATTGTATAGTTTTGAGAGATGTTAGACAAACTTTTGGGTACAAAGGACCTTGTTTCTTTGTGCCCAAAAGCTTGTCTAACATCTTTCCCAACTAAATGTTTGAGGCATTTCTGTTTGGTCTGTGCCAGTATATCATAGATCTCCTTATTTCTCTTCCCATTTTTATTTGTTGTTAGTACTTACCTCTTTATGTTGCCTACAAGCTGGCACACTTTTTATTTACCTGTTGTTATAGATTGGGTATGTTTGCTTCCACTTTCACTATTCCCATTATTTTCAGTTGGAAGGAATTGGTCCCTCAGGCCTCCTTGTTTTATCATCCTTTGTTATTAAGGTTTGTAGTATTGTGATTTCACAAACACAATTCCAGTGAACAATTGAATTCTTAGACAACAAAAACCCTTTATTCATGTAAATGCCCTGGGCATTTAAAACAGAAGGAGCCACACTGAGAAAATGTGTAAGACCAGCAGAATTGCTTCTAAGCAGAATGGTTTAGAAGTTTTCCATGACGCTTCAGCTGCTTTTTAATCATAACACACCATCCATCAATTTTCTAAATAATGGAAGACTTCAAACACAGATTGGTTAATTAGAAAGAAAAATATGTGCCTTAATTCCCTCATGACTTTTAAAAAAGAAATTTTTGTATTTAATAACAAATATTTTAAAGACAAAAAACTATGTACTGCAGTCTATAACTGTATTCTTTAGATTCTGCTTGTTAAAGAAGCATCTTTATTTACCAAAAATGTCCCTGAGCCTTTCAAATACAGTAATAAATTAAGAAAACAATCGTACTAATATACTCTTTATGTCAGACTCGGCAGCAAGCCAGCTACCAACCTGTCATGGAAACCCATTAAGACCGACTTGCTGCATCAAAAAAAATTTAAAGTGGGAAAATGTTGATCAAGATCTAATTACTCTTTCAGGACTGAAAAAGAAAGTTCGTTGTCCTTATGTATGTATAGATATAACATATAGGCAACTTAACTATATAAAGTACTTCATCAAAAAGATTTTCCTTTGTAGAGGACAAGGATTGTCTGTAATTTACAGATGTTTGTGAAAGAGGTTTTTTTCTACCCTGAAATTGCTTTAGTAAATGCAGTTGTATAAACTGCCAACTCTGGAAACAAGTAGGAATAATCTTTGGATGGTTTGAGTTTTGTTTGCATTGCTCTTCTACAGCTACAAGTAATGTTTTACATTTTTTTCCGGCTGAATAGTTTGGCCTAGAATGGAAGCTAAGAAGTTAGATTTGTGGCTTTATGATGACTGATTTCTGTTAAATAAGGTCCGTATTGCATTCAGCTTCATGATTCAGCTTCAAAGTGTGGGTCCCTCACTGAATGGGGGAGGCAATCTTGTAACAGGATGCAGAAAAGGCTGAAGTACTCAAAGCCTTTTTTGCCTCTATCTTCACAGGCAAGGTCATCTCCCAGACTACTGCACCGGTCAGCACAGTTTGGGGAGGAGGTAAGCAGCCCCCAGTGGTAAAAGAACAGGCTAAGGGACTATTTAGAAAAGCTGGGTGTGTACAGGTCCATGGAGCAGGATGGGATGCACCCGAGGGTGCTGAGGTAGTTGACTGATGTGATTGCAGAGCCATTGGCTATCATCTTTGAAAATTCATGGTGATCAGGAGAGGTCCCTGATGACTGGAAAAGGGCAAACATAGTGCCCATATTTAAGAAAGGGAAAAAGAAGGATCCAGGGAACTACAGACCAGTCAGCCTCACGTCAATCCCTGGAAAAATCAAGGAAAAGATCTTCAAGGACTCCATATCTAAATACTTGGAGGAGAAAAAGGTGATCAGGAACAGTCAGCATGGATTCACCAAGCGCAAGTCATGCCTAAACAACCTGATTGCCTTCTATGATGAGATGACTGGCTCTGTGGATGCGGGGAGACCAGTGGATGTGGTGTACATTGATTTTAGCAAGGCTTTTGATACAACCCAACATTCATGCAGGCAAGCTAAGGAATTATGGGCTGGATGAATGGAGTGTAAGGTGGATAGAAAACTGGCTGGGGAATCAGGGTCAAAGGGTAGTAATCAATAGTTTGATGTCTAGTTGGCAGCTGGTATCAAGTGGCATGCCCCAGGGGTCAGTCCTGGGGCTGGTTTTGTTCAATGTCTACATCAGTGACCTGGAAGATGGCTTAGAGTACACCTTCAGCAAGTTTGCAGATGACACCAAGCTGGGGGGGAGTAGCAGATATGCTTAAGGGTAGGACTAGGATTCAAAGTGACCTAAACAGATTGGAAGATTGGGCCAAAAATAATCTCATGAGGTTCAACAAGGACAAGTGCAAAGTCCTGCACTTGCAGCAGAACAATCTCATGGACTGACACAGGCTGGGGTCTGAATGACTGGGGAGCAGCTCTGCAGTAAAGGTTTTGGGAGTTACAGTGGACAATAAGCTGAATATGAGCCAGTCGTGTGCCCTGGTTGCCAAGAAGGCTAATGGCATACCGGGCTGCATTGGTAGGTGTGTTGCCAGTAGGTCAAGGCAAGTGATTATTCTTCTCTATTCAGCACTGGTGAGGCCACACATAGAGTACTATGTTCAGTTTTGGGCCCCCCAACTACAGAAAGGATGTAAACAAATTGGATGGAGAGAGTCCAGTAGAGGGTAACAAAAATGGTGAGGGGGCTGGGGCACATGACTTCTGAGAAGACACTGAGGGAACTGGCTTATTTAGTCTAGAGAAGAGAAGACGGAGGGAGGGATTTAATAGCAGCCTTCAACTACCTGAAGGGGGATTCGAAAGAGGATGGAGCTAGACTGTTCTCAGTGGTTGCAGATGACAGAACAAGGAGCAATGGTCTCAAGTTGCAGCAAGGAAAGTTTAGGTTAGATAGTAGGAAGAATTTTCCCAGTAGGAGGGTAGTAAAGCACTGGAACAGGTTACCCAGAGAGGTGGTGGAAGCTCCATCCTTGGAGAATTTTTTAAAGACCTGGCTAGACAAAGTTTTGGCTGGGATGATCTAGTTCAGGATTGTCCTGTTTTGAGCAGGTGGTTGAATTAAATGACCTCCTGAGGTCCCTTCTAACCCACATTTTCTATGATTCTGTGCAAGTTACTGGGCACATCTACATGTTAAGCAAGTTTAGTACTTGCTTAATGAAGTAATAACTAAATATGCCATAATTACAGTTACTGCACAGTAGTTCCAGCTCACAATTTTTTCATGAGCTTATTACGTAGTAGCCTAATAACACTGCACGATGGTGTATTAGCATGGTTTTTGACCAGCACGCTACTGCACAGTAAGCGTCTTGTGTAGACACACCCACTGTCTACACATTGATGTGACAGCTGGCTCTAGTTCATTACTTGACAAATTCTAAATGATACCAGTATTAAACAAAATGAACTGAAAGTACATGGATTCAGTACATCATAAAAATAAAATATTTCAGTTATGCTGTGTACTGGTTTCCTGTCTGCATTGCCTTTGTCTTGCTTACATCGCAAACTCACAAGCTCATCCAGCCAGCAGCTGGCTGCGTTGTGGGTCTTAGGTCCCAGGAAGATATTAATTTAAAGGCAGGATGGGATTTCATGCGCAGTCCCAACAGTCTCTCTTGAACCATTGTATATAAAGAAAACTGAGAAAGCATATGGCAAAAAAACCAGAAAGTTCATATTATCTGCTACAGTATATTATTAGATGTACAGTATTGCTTAAAAATGGTAACTCTCCTTTCTGTCTTTGTCCATGAAATCTCTACACATGTTTTTTATATTCCTTATGGAAAATAAAATTATTCTATCCAGCTTGGGTTTTTTTCAAGGTAAAAATAGTCATGTTTTATATTAATGTGTACTATCAGCTGAAAATGAACTGGGCTGGAACTTCTTGTGACACGCAGCTGCTTTGCACTGGACTGACAGCACAGTCTGATTGCACAACAGGCATCATCAACCCCAAAACATTACCTCAGCTGATCCTTTGGTGATGCTGAAGGGAAATGGAGGGATGGCATTTTTAAATCTGTGACCATTAAAGCCTAGTAGAAATGCAGGGGAAATGGGATTTACAAGCCTGTATCAGTATTAGGGGAGTGTAACAGTGAGCTTTCAATTGGTTTTGCAAGCTGTCAGCTCTCCGTAGTTTGTTGTGATGCACATTCTTTTGGGGACAGAATAGTTTCCTTATATTTTCTGGGCTTGTTATGTCAAACAGGGAAATAACAGAAGCACCCATAATATTTCATCATAAGGAGCAAGGAAATTCAGTTATCTCAATGAGGCAGAGGGGACAAAAGCTTACCGGAAATTGCACTGCTGCTTATCATTTATTAGACTCTAACCTCTGTATTGACACGTGTACTATCTATATAGTTAGAACAGTTCTGAATTATAGTAAACTGAATGACATGCGTCACATGGTACATCAGTAAGACTGTGTCTTTGCTAGTCAGATACTAAAAAAATCAAGAATTTTGTAAAGAGTTTGGCACTATCCTATTACACATGAACATTGTGTTCATTTTAGATCATCCACCTGATGTGCATTTAGTTTGTATTGTTGAAAACATATTTATTTTTTTCACAATGGTGTGAAAATATGAAGTGAGGTATGAGGACTAAGAGTTAGTAGCAATTATTACTATAGTAATGTTAGACCAGTGGCCTTTTCCTTGAAACTGTACCGTAAACCTTGATTAGACCAGGACAGTTATATACATTTTTTTTTGTGCAGCCATATGCCAGCCTAGATGCAAACATGGTGAATGTGTTGGATCAAACAAATGCAAGTGTCACCCAGGATACACTGGAAAAACCTGCAACCAAGGTAAGAAAACAAATTACAATAAAATCTTCTCGTGAGACCACAGAAGTATTTTTATCCTAATAAATTAAATGCTAAGTATGTATTATGCACAAATAACAGCAGCTACAATTTTCTATTGATGCACAAATGATTGACTCTTCAAAAATGAATCTTTATTCCTGAAAGATGGGACCTGTGTACTCTGCACTTCCAGATCAGTGGACTTTATCTACTAAGTTCAGCAGTGGCTACTCTGCTGCTATTTAGAATAAAAAGCATCACTACTATACTGACTCACAGCAGGCGTGTATACATGAGATGCTTTATAACACACTAGACTAATGTGTAGTAAAGCGTCAGTGTCTACCCATGCACAGGACTTAGTGTGCAGTAAATTCGGCTAATGTGCCATTTGCTAGTACCAACAAATACAGGCCGTAGATTAACAGCACATTTGCTACTGTGCAGTAGCATATATGTCGATGCTGACCATGAGCTGCATATCCCCTCATGTTTCTAACCTCCCCCAGTCCAGGCACTGCTTAACCCCATGGATGGGCATTGGGCATCATGGGGGAGGTAAGCAGCTAGATGACATGTATACCTTGTACTACCCACTGGAAAGGAGGGCTCCAAGCTGGGAGAAAACCCTTATCTTCCAAGCAGATCTGAAAGCAGCAGCAGGAGCACACATGTCCCTGCCCGTGTCCTGCTGCAGGGGGAGACTGAAATCAGCCTTCCCTTGAGCCAGGGTGGAAAGGGCTGGGGATTGCGCGCTGTGTACGTAGAGCCCCAGAACTGCAGTGGGGAGAAAAGGAACTGGGTGCAGAGATCCACCAGCCAGCCAGGGACTTCCCTGTGCAGGGCAGTCCCGTGCCCACCTTCCCACCCCCCAGGCCTGGCCATCAATCCTCCTCATTACATGCAATCTTTTTTTCCCACCTAGGCACGCTGATGGCATATTTAACAAAGCCTACAGGAAAGTTCTGGTGCTGCGTCCCCCTCATATTTCCCCTCCTTCCCTGGTCCTGGTGCTGCTTGCCCCCATGCTCAGGAACAGGGCATCGCCCCTAGCCTGTGCTGCTTAGCCAGTCTGTGATCCCAAGCTCCATGAGGCTGAGAGTTGTTCCTCTCTCCAGGACAAACAGCTTGTCCTGCTCCCCAAAGCCCAGGCTTGACCCCTGTGCCCCTGCCAGCCAAGGGCTGGTATTGGGAGGGCCTGGACCTCTTCTCTGTAGGGGGACAGAGCAGGGCAGAGGGACAGGAACAGCCCTGGACTCAACTGCTCCTATTGGGAGCAGATTTGCTCCCAATGTGGACTCACGTGTAGACATGTTCCCAGGTGCAGTTTACTGCACCTTATTTTGATGCACAGTAACTTAAAGCACATTAATTACATGTGTAGACATGTCTAGGGAGTAGTTTAGAAAGTACTCGTAAGTTGAAGAATTTTGTACAGTATTTCCTTTTGATCCTTCCTTACTTTACTTTTAAGATGACTTACATTTCTATAATCTTTTGAATTTTGAAGAAAGCTCTTTAAAAACCCAGTTATTGTGCGTTTTCAGTACAGGTAAAGGCTTGCTTCAGTGAAGTATCTATTACTCAGGAAAGCACTTTGGCATGTTCCTAAAACCAACTGAAGTCAATGGGATTCAGCATTTCCTTAGAATTGAAGACATCCTTACCTGTCTTCCTGAATCAAAGCCAAGAGATACAGAATATGCAATATGAGATGTAGAATATGCAATATGAGATATATGTATGTGTGTATATATGTATGCATGTATGTATGTGTGTATATATGTATATATGAAATATGAGATGCCGAATATGCACTTTGGGGTTGTGGGCTCAGAGTTTAGGCTCCTTGTTTAGGTGTAGATAATAAGCTATCATTTTTAACTGAAATTTTTCTTTTAATATAGTTTTACTGAAACATTTTCCCTTTTATTGTTTTAAACCCAAGACGCCGCAGCACACCCCATCTTATTCCCTTTATATACAATGATTATAGCTATAGCTTTCAATATTTTTTCATAGCTGATTTCCAAAAAAGTAATAATCAGTATAGCACTGCACACTATACACAATTTCAGCTTTGAATTTCAGTTAACTTGTGAAGGATGTGGCATTTTCGTGTGCAGTGATATATCATTAAAAGAGTCATATTCCAACAGTTGTTTTGGGGATCTAGTAAATATTTTTAGCCTTTTTTTCCCTAAAAAAAAAAAAAATGTGAAGGGGTTTCTTGGAAAATCTGACTACTTCAGAGGTATGTTGGTAGTGAGAATTGTATCCTCTCATCTTTGCTAATCCTTCCATGACACCATCTTCTAAATACATTTATTTTCTTTTTAAAATCCTTTTCTGACATATTTCTATTAAGTAAGTGCTGATTTTTGCTGCTTTCCCTTATTTCTGGTCTGATTTCTCCCCTTTAGAGTTGTCATGTTGTCTTTACTGTTATCTCTGGTGTGACAGTCATAAAAGCATGTTATGATTTTGTTACTCCTAGTCTGCCTTGATTGCTTTTAGAGCTTTACCTAGAAAATAGTTTGATTAAGTACCAGTTGCACAGTAGCATAATAGCTTAACAGTATCATATATACACTATGCAGGTGATCTCAGGCTTTGGCATTATGCACTACAATACATTGGGCCTCCTAGAAATCTCAGAAGAGTAAGGGAAGTGGTATAGCTGGCGTGGTAGGTGGCACTCTTAAGTCTTGTGTAGTATTGAACCAGTGCTCCAACAGGACATTGGTGACCTGTTTGTGATTTTCAAAAGTCCCTGTGTGAGTTACTAGAACAGTGGAACATGTGCTCTTGCTTACTTGGGTATTTTTGACCATCCTACATGATGCCCATTGGTTGTAAAACAGAAGCCTTATCCACAGTATTTTTCAAATAGCATGATTGAGATCATTAAATCAGTATCTTAATCAAATGGAAGTTTGTGTGACTCTCTTTGGCTAAATATAGGAACCCCCCTGATGTTTCCTTGTTCTCAATTCCAGTTACTGCAAAAAATCACTATTATGTATTGTTGCTAAAATGTTACTCAGCAGTGGTGACAGGCTTCCTCTGATGGGTGAATGATATGTGCATTTACTCCAGTTATGAAGTGTTTTTAGATAAAGAAAATGGATAAAAGATATTATATAGATACAAGGTGTTGTTAATAGGCGGTACATTTCATATGTTCAGTTCCCTCATATCTCTTGTGAGCCAAGCAGGAAGTTCTCAAGACAAGATGCTCTACTTAACTGACTGATTACATCTAACCATCAGTTTCTTCCCAAGTATTGGACTACAAAATTTAACCCCTGCTGTAGTTCAACAACAGTCATTTCAGTATCTTGTCACGTACTTCCATGAATTAACAGGTTAAATCGAGTCAGTTTGGGTCATTGTTTGAGACTGAATGGCAACTGGAATTAAAAAAAAAAATTAAATTGCATCAGCAGATTGTAAAACAGCAAATGTTCTGCAAAAATTTTTTTAAAAATTTGCAGTCGGCTTTATAATGGTAACTGTGCTCAGAGCCAATATATATGTTCAATGGAGAATATTTTGCAGATTAATATGGAGTCCAAGTAATTCAAGGCTATCAGCTTTGTACTAAACACTGGTTATCTGAATTCTATTTTCCCAGACCCAACCTGCAAATATAATTTCTTTGCTTTTTAAATATATTTTGTCGAGTCTGAGCTAATGGCCATTGACATTATAAAGTAAAGGCAGATGACATTGACATTATGAAGTTACAGAGTTTTGGTCTTTTGACTTTTGTTGTGCTTTCTCCCTCTGTGAAGCCGAGCGCCTGTATACAACCTCACCTGACCGGCACAGTGAACCACTTTTTTCCTACCCCCTGGATCATCGTGCAACCAATTTACCTTCAAGGGGTGAGAGAGTCCTTCAGAGTCCTTTAGATAAGGTGGTATGCTCCTTCCACCTGCACGGCTTTAAACAATAATAAAACACTTTGCAATTGTACTGAAGGATGATGAATTCATGGCTGTCAATGGCTGCAGGCCTCCAGTATCGTTGGCATGCAAAGCAAATGTGCAGTTACTCTTTCTTGATGCTGTGTGCCTGTACTCTGAAAAGGCTCGACACTCAGCAATCCTTTTAACTGACGACCGTGTCTTTTCTGCTTTATTCTTTCAAGATTTGCACTGCTTTTTCTAAATTCCTTTCCAAGGCAATAGCCATGGAAATTCATTATCACATTCAGATGAAAACAATAGTGTGACTAAAACAAAACTGAAAGCAAAAGAGAATGAGCATTATTAATTTCTGAGGTTAACTGTTGTTGTATTGTCTGTTTGTTAGTCAAGCAGTGATTGAACTGACCTCCTCAAAAGTAATATAAATCTGCACTCAAGGTGAAACTCAGCATAGTGGTCAGATGACATGTACCTAAAATGAAAACTGATCTACTGTTTGGAGTACAGGGGTCATGAAGGCTTGAATATTTTACTTGGCTTCTGCTCAAGGGCTTTCTGTTTTACCTCAATCTTAGTAAATTCAGTAGTGCATATTTGACCTCTAACTTTTCTTCCTGATCCAAGTTGAAAACTAAAAAGAAAAGTTTGAATGTGCTTCAAAAGAATGCTAGGTCTTTGCTGCTAGGGCTAATTAAAACAACCTATAGAGTATACTGCAGAATCTCAGGGAAGGAAATGTTCCATTATTATGGGCATACAGAAAATCAATTATTATCCAAGATGATATCTCAAAGCAGCACCTATATGCTAGTTAAATGAGACAGCTAGATTTACCAGCATACTGCCAGTTGTCCTTTCCCTGCATTCACATTTTTTCATCTCTTCTTTCGAATGAAATATTTGTGCTCTGCAGCCTGCGCTTACGTTCTGGACCAGCTTTCCCAAGCTCCTAAAGCACTCACCCTGCTTTTACATGTAGCAATTTTCAGCTCAGACTGCTTTATTTTGTATTGTCTATAATTAATTGCAGGCAACATTTGAATTTAAGTGGCATAATGGTAAAATTGCCAAGTTTGGAATAATGAATGACTGTCACAGTCAGCAGCAGCATGGAACTTTCTGAACTCTTACCTTAATATTGCTGCACCTCGGAGTTTAAATTCCACCTTGAATTCTTAAAAGGAAGTATGGACATCGTTATACATGCTCTGGGGTGGGTGGGGGGGCACTTAGAGCAACTCTCAGGAGCGCTGTGGCCCGCAGCGTCTCATGTGGTCAGCCTTCCATACTTCAGAATTGTGGCGGGGGCGCTTTAACATGACTCATTTGACAAGCTTTATTTAAAGTGCCCCTGCTCCCATTTTGAAGCACAGGTACACTGAATACACGAGATGCTGAGGCTACTGGAGTGTGCTAATTAGCACCCTCAATCGAGTCTGCTCCGAAGCATGCTAATTAGCACGTTAGATCTAGTACTGTCTGGGTTTATAACCTGTAATTGCCAGTCTTTTAGAGGAAAATTCTTTTATTTTCTTTTTCCCTTTTGATGTACAAACTTTTACTGTGAGTGAGAGATTATTATATGTATGTTGTTTGAAATACCAAATTGATATCTATATCTTTGGGTAAGTAACTTGACCTTTTTTAAATCCACCATTTGCTTGTAGTCCACTCAGCGTGGGCCAACTATAGCTGACCCATTAACTACTAATATTAGCTTGAACCTGTTCATGAATAACAGGGCCTTACTTAAAGAACAAAAATATACATATCTGAGGAAGACAGAGAGTATTAATAGTGCGAATGTTTCAGAGCTGCTGACAGGTCTCATAAACAGGGATGAAATGTGCATACACATTGGCTGATCTATTTCTTCTCTCACCCATTTGCAACATATCCATAATCTTCTGAGGGGACCTACTATTACAGACAATATGTGTGTACAGCTAGATAAAAAGAGCTGTCAGTGTGTTAAGGATAGGCTTTATGAAGAACTAGTGGGACCTACCAGTGATCGCCTAGTGTGTGTCCCTTCAGAGACTAAATATTGCATACTGCGGTGTACAGGGTATATGTCTCTGAACATTGATAAAGGAAAAGATCCTGTAGTGGTGGTGGCAGACAGAATTAGAAAAGCCATGTTTTGAGGAAAATAAAATGGAAGGGCAAAATTGCCAGGAGGCTCACAGAATAACGTATTTGACAGACTTCCTATTTTGGAATTGGGCTTGCAGTGAAGTCATCATAGTAATAATGAACGGCAGTAGCAGATGATTTTGTTGCAACGTTCTGTGGGCTCAAAACCAAACTCTCTCTAAAAGCTAAGCTCAAAATCAGAGAATTTAATGGAGCTATATTAAGGGCTTTACTCCGACTGTCTCTTGGCATTGGATCATTAACATGTCAGCCATGTTACCCCTGGCGGGGTGGTTGTGGGCGGGGTGGGCAGTCTGTCACAGAATACTTTTCAAGATCTGAATCTAGAAGCATTTAAAACTGATGTTCTGTCTGTTTTCATTCACACGCAGAAATAGAGCTAAGAGACGTTAATAGAAATAAGCAAGATGGGGTTAGCTGAAACTCAGTAAACAGCAAAAATGCACATGGAATGGGATCTTGCAATGCTTCCCAACCTCTTCATTATATGATATGGTTATTCTTAGAAAGTATTACAAATAGCAGACCACACCCCTGACGCCCAGAACCATGGATTTCAATTCTGCCCTAAAAATATTTGATACAAAATAGCATGGTATTCAAAGCTGAATAAGGAGACTTAAGTCACATATACATTTTGTTTAAATTATCTTACAAGTGTACATTAATACTTTCCTTCCTTGCCCTACCCCAGTATCTAGTGTAGAAGGAAGTCTTTTCTATTAATGATTATGTAATGTGATTGGTTCTGTATAAATCATGAAGCAGAAATTATCTCTGTCCCAAGGAGCTTATGGTAGAACTACACATATGAATCAAACTGTACTGAAAGATCCAGAAGAAGGGTGTCACATGGAGCATTTTTAGTGCAGTGTCTTAGTAGGTGCCAGTCATAAGCCTGGGGATTCTTCTTGCTTTGAAATTTTAGGATTTGAAATAAAAGCCTTTTTTCCCCTGGCATGAGGAAGCAGGCGGCATAAGAATTCCTCTCTTCACTCCTATCGGAGGGCAGGTAGCTGAATTCTTGGTTCTTTACAAGCCTTGGGCAAGAGTAAAGAGTGGCAGGATTTTTACTTCCTTTGCCAGAGAAAGGACAAGTGTCCTTTACTGCAGTGATGATGGTAATGAGGATACTTTGGCTGTGAGCAGACACTACATTTGTCCCTGGGTGAACCATTTTATCTCGGGTCAAAATGCAATGGCTCAGATGTTCAAGTCTATTGTCCTGGGATAAATCCTAAAAAGGCTTATGGGTTAACAAGTAGTAACAGTTTGTCCTGTGACATTGTAAGGTGCACCTGAACAGTTGTCCTGGGATTGCATCATTGAATCAATGACAGAAAAGTGGCAATGCATTCAGCCACTCACTAAGCCCTGATTAGAAAGGCAGTGCGTGTACACATGAATCCCAGGACTTTTCTTGGGACAAACACAGGCACAACTTGTCCAGGGACAAATATCACATCTGTTCCTAGCCTCTGACCCAATCAAGGTGGAAATGAGGGGAAGGAATATTGCTCAGAAATCATAGAAAATATAATTGGTACAATATGTACTAGTGTTAATTAATTCTGCTTGTTCAATTTATGAATGTGGTATCTATGATGTGAACAAAAAGAAACAATCCTGTTGGTTAGTAAACTGAATGGCTCTAGTGTCATGGAGTAGTGAGGTTACTGAAAAACACCTACATTGTAGCCAGTTCTGGTCACTACAAAACTGGGCTAGATATAAACAATGTATTATCCCATTTTTCCTTCTTTCTCCAAACGTTGAGAGTCCTATAACAGCTTCAAATGCTCAGTTTTTCCATAAACTGTTGATTTGCTTTTTCTCTCCTCCCCCTCTCCCTGCTGTCTTTCCACTTCAGATCTTAATGAGTGTGGACTAAAGCCTCGGCCATGCAAACACCGATGCATGAACACCTACGGCAGCTACAAGTGCTATTGTCTGAATGGATACATGCTCATGCCGGATGGAACGTGTTCTAGTATGTCAAGGCTCCTTAGCTTCCCTTTTTTTGTTTCAAACTCCAGTTACTGTTTTCTATAATCCCTGGAGACTCTTGGTAAACCTATACCAGAAAAAGATGAGTCCCAAGGCAGAAAAATATCCTTCTGAAAATTGTGCATTGTGCTAAATGGGCCTCCTCATTCCAGGAAATGAGACTGAACAGAACATGAACAAATTATTTTTATTCTGTTAGTTTTATCATTGTTTCCTAAACCATTCTTCAACGCTGCAAATCACTATTAATCTTCCTTCAGGGACAGGTGCCTGCAGTATTCTCAGCAGGACACCTGCAGTTCTGCTGTATTATGCTCACATAAAGCCTTAAAATCATTAAAGCTACATATGCTGGTTGACTGCCTGGTATAAAACTGTACTGAGATCTTCCTGGAGATTAGGTTCTTCCTCACTCCCATAAAAGTGGATATTTTGGGTATCTGGTGAGAGAGAGAAATGACCTTTAATTAAAGATAGTACTGAAAGGAGGAGTTACCGTTTCTAAATGAATCCATCCACAAGGGTTTGTAGCACACATTTGGTTTTATTTTCCTCATGGGGTTTTTGTTCAATAACACAGACCACTAAAAACTGTATTCTTTTGACTTGGTGTTTCTTATAAATGCAGTCTGTGAAAGCAAGGCAAAGATTTACAGAGCACATTTTTGCTTTTATTGGCCTGATCCAACTCCCTTTAAAATCAGCAGGAGACTTTCCACTGACTTTTATGTAGCTGGACCAGACTTTATTTCACCTGAGACTCCAGTGATTTGCCTATACTATATATTTAGTGCAATGTGTGACCGTTTTTCCCTAGATGCCCTTTCTTGTTCTATGGCTAACTGTCAGTATGGCTGTGATGTAGTGAAAGGAGAGGTCCGCTGCCGGTGTCCTTCGCCAGGGTTGCAGCTAGGGCCTGATGGCAGGACCTGTGTAGGTAAGTTATGCTTCCATCTTAAAGCTGAATCTATCTGAAAAAAATCATTGCATAGATATGAATTGCATGATAGGTGTAGTGTAACAATCTATCAACATGAGTTTCAGATAGCCACATTACCCAGGTGTTCTCAAACAAACACCTTTCTATTGTGCCATCATGTGTTCTGTACATATTAGATGTTACACAAGCAATATTTTAGGCAGGCTTTAAAGCATTTTAAAAATATATTGCAACTATTTTTTTTGTATCACATTGTCTGTGAATCTGGTGCTGTAGTTACAACTGTGCAGGGATTGGAGAGAGCAATAAAGCCTCTACGAATAACCTGGAATAGTTTTTCCACACATAAAAGTGTTATGGATTTAAGGACCAAGATTTGAGCTTTTGCACGTCTTGAGCAAGTGCTGTGCATTCTGTAGGGAATCTGGGAATGCCCCTTTGCAGTTGCATAAGCCTCCTACCTGCAGGCCAGCCGCATCCCAAGATATCTGAGATGAGGAGCTTCTCTGTAGATGTGATTGTATCCATGCTTCTCTTTCAGTTTGTTTGTTGTACTTGTGTAGTCAACTCCAAGAGGACTGTGTTTTATATAACTTCTGTGAGTTAATATTTTGAAATAATTTACTCTAACCTAACAATTTATAGAATCATAGGATTGCTCATCTAGTCTAATCCCCTGCTCAGGGGTACAAGCATCCCTCTCTAAACCATCGCAGACAAATGTTATAGTTTATTGGATTTTTTTATGCAATCCACTGATTAAAAGCACCTGGTAGTTGAGAAAATAACTACTTCTTTGGGTCTCTGGCATCTTCATTAAGGAAGCACCCCTCTGTTTTTGCTTTGCACTCCTTGAGCATGGGGTTGGACTAGGTGTTGGAGGAGCCATTATTCTATCCAGGCAAATTGCAATGAACAACCTTCAAAATTAGCCAGCATTCAGGAGACTACTGCAGCCCGTCACCTGTTTAGAAATCAGTCAATTAACATCAGTCAGTTTATGCTAAGTGAGACTATGGTAGATCATATCTAACCTTACTTTCCACCAGTATTTTAGCGAATGGATTCTTTAGTCTCTCTTGGTGACAGAAGATGTGTGAAATAAAGTGTGAGCTCTTTAACATCATAGTGCCCATGAGGCTGCTAGCCCTGAGTCAAAAAGAAGTCTTCCAAAGACACTGGACCATTCAGATGGCTCTGTTTAATTTTGAGACTTGAAACCCATTTGAGATAGATAGTACCTTATCTATGTAATAAAAAATAACACCATTTTTTTCTATTTGCAGATGTTGATGAGTGTGCTACTGGGAGAGTTATCTGTCCCAGATTTAGGAAATGTGTTAACACTTTTGGGAGCTACATTTGCAAGTGCCATAAAGGCTTCGATTTAATGTACATTGGAGGCAAATATCAATGCCATGGTAATAAATTCCATGTATTTCATTTTTGCACATATTTAATGTATATGTACATTATTTAATTGTATCCAGGATTAACAGAGGTTTATCCATCTTCATACAAGCTGAGAGGCTGAAACTGTTTTAAAGTACTCTGTATTTTTGTGTGTGTAGTGAACTGTGAAATAGAATTACATTGAACATGGAAAAAGAAGTAATATCCTTTGATGTTTTCAATGGGAATACTGTGCAGACAGTATCTGCAGGTTTTGGTACCTTGTTTGTAGCACTAAAAGTATGAAAAACAATACAAGATATTGTAAGCAGTTTCCACACTGGTGTAATACACAAAAGAAGTTAAACCACAGAAGAAGAGCATGCTAAATGTGGATTGGGGTCTTGTATATTACAAACCTTATATTACAAACCTAATATTTCCCCTCCTCGAGAGGTCAGTGTAAAAAGTGATTATAGAAAACTGAAATGTTTACTTGCTGTATACTGGAGGTCAGTCTAGATGATCACTCAGGCTGCTTGCAGACATGGGGGAAAAAAACCAAACTGGTGCTTTACTTCATCCTCGACAGGCTCCTGCACTGAGCCCAGTACATGCTCAGGAGAGGCAGCACATTACTTGCACCCAGCTTTCCCAACATCTATATAGACTGGGCACTTTAGTGGAGCTTTTTGGGTTCTTTTATCTAATAGCTGATTGAATCAGCTTTAGATAAAAATGCCAAAAAGTCCCACTGAAGTGCCTGATCAATACAGATGCTGTGGAGCCAGGCTGAACTAACACGCTGCTGCTTCTATTAAAGTGTGTTCTCCCCTACCTCCCCCCACGTTTGTCAGTGGTCTAAAGGGCTTTCTCAGCTTACTATCTATGAAACACAGTTAATTTAATAGTGATTCTTTTTTTCAGTTATGGCATAATTTTATTGTACTTTTACAATTCAGAACATTGTTTTAAAGGGTCACATCTGTTTATTTTGAAGAAAAAGGCAAGTTCTTTCTCCTACATAAATAGCTTTTATACAATTTTATTTTACAGATATAGATGAATGCTCAATTGGCCAATATCAGTGTGGTGGTTTTTCCCGTTGTTACAATACACAGGGATCCTACAAGTGTAAATGTAAAGAAGGCTACAGAGGTGATGGAACAAACTGCATACGTATGTATTGCTTCACATTTTTTTGGCCTTAATACTTAAGTCAAATGCCAAACAGACTATTTATTGGGAAAGATGAGAAACATTGTAATGAATCCTGTGCAGTAATTTCAAATGTAGCACTATCAGGCTCAGTTTCACTTAAGTATGTATGAAAGATAATAGAGGACCAGATACTGTATTCAGAATGTTATGAGTCTTAACATGCCTTGATAAAAATATCATTCCATGAGACTTTTTCATTAGTAAGATAAAATCCAGTGAGCCCCATTTACAGCTTCATTCTGTAGGTGATGCTAGTTGTTCCCATTATGAGGTGAAAGTGCATTAAGTAATTTAGAGCCTGGTCATGACACATACCTCTCATGGTTTCCTTCTGTTGTAAGCACTGTGTGCATTCTTATAACACAGCTTGCCCTCTCCTCCACACAGTTGTGAGAGAGCACTCAGAGAGCGAGTTTCTCTAAGAGTTCCCTAGTTTCCTTTCCCTAGAAACTGGGTGTGTCTACAGGTGCAAATGCTGTGGGGGGTGGGTTTAGGCTAGAGTAAATTACTCTAGTGAAAACCCACCCTGGGCAGGCATCTATACATGCAGGGATGGGGGAGCAGATTTGCTGCTCCTAGCAGCAGTCTGCTCCTGCCCCATCTGGTCCTGCACCAACCCCCTGCAGCATCCAGATGGAGCTCTAGGCTCCCCCTGGGTGCTAGTCCAGGGGCTGGCAGGGGGCATGGGGCCAGGAGACAGCTGTCTCCTGACAGGGGCTGGGAGATTGCTCCCTGCCCCCCAGAGCTGCCTGCTGCTGGGATGGGCTCCACCACTGGAGCCCAGGCAGGGACAATAGACACTTGCCCTGGCAGCAGGGAGCTCCCAGTCCTGGCTCCCCAGGTGGGGACAAGGAGCTTGGAAAGAACTGCAGGAGAGGGGCAGGTCCCTGTCCCGCTCTGCCAGTGGTGCAGCTAACAATGAGCCCCAGCTGGGCAGGGATTCGGGGCTCTATTTTATTGTGCTCTTTAACTCGCTGCTAGCTGCCCCACTGGTGAATTGGGGCAGGGGCTGGGACCTGCCCGCCCTGCAGCTCTTTCCAAGCCCCATGTCTTGATTGCCCAATCAGGGCATAGGGAAGGGACCTGCAGCCTGGAGCAGGCTGGGAACTTTCTGGAACAGGACAGTTCCCAGCCACCTCCAGGCTACATGTGCAAACTTCCCCACGCTGCCCAGGGCTGGCTGGGAACTGTCCTGGTCAGGGGCAGGTGCCAGTGAGCTCCAGGCTGGATGGGGAACTCTCTGTACAAGGAGCTCCCAGGCCCTGCTCTACGATTGCAGAGGTGGGAACAATCATCTCTCAGCTCCCACTCTGTGACTGTGGAGCTGGGACTGGAAGCTTCCTGCTGCTGGGGCAGGGGGACACTTTCCCTGCCTGGGCTCCGGTGACGAAGCCCATCGTAGCAGCAAGCAGCTACCAGGGGCAGGGAGCAATCTCCTGCCCCCTGCTCCCAGGTGGCCATCTACATGTGCCATACTGCACAGTAATTACTCGTGAGTAAATTTGCTACTTGTATTTACAGGTAGCAAATTTACTTGTGATTAGAGCAGATTAGTGCACAGTAAGCATCTGCACATGTAGACACTGACACTTCCTGTGCAATAATTTCAAGTAAAGTGTCTCATGTAGATGTGCCATTGTGTCTTTTCCATTGTTCTTTTGGGAAGCAACTATCCCTATCACTATGGTGTATTCCACCAGGTCTGCTCACAAGTCTGGTAATCTCCAGGGATCTACATAGATTTGAGAGGGATCTCTGTGATGTGAAGGCTGCTCTCATCATATGAGACCAGTGCCTTCATGGGGGTCCTTGGTGGTCCCATGTAGCTTCCAATAGTGAGTCTCCAGTGGACTGTCAAGTACTCCCTTCAGCTATGGCTGCCCTAGAGACATGCATAATAAGGTTATATCTTTACCTGATAATATTCATGGCCCCATTCCATCCAATGTGGTGGGGAGGTCCAAAGAAGGGGAGGATGGTAAAGAGCTTAGCGCCATTTGAATGATATCCCTTTTCCCATGCACCACTTTCTATTTAGAACTGAGAGAATCACGTAGGAAGAGAATATTACTAATGTAGATCTTGGGTACATGAGCTGGATCTTAAAGTGTGTTTTAAATTTAAATTGGCATAATACAATTAACAAAGTTAAAAGAATTTTCTTAGGGAGGGATGCATTTAACAATTTATTTCTTGTGCATCAAGTAATGCCCACATATAGTTATCCATTCACTGACCAACCATTCATTATAATTCACTGGATGCATCTACATGTCAGCCTATAGCAACATAGTGACGCGCTACTTCACTGTATGGTGCACTATGGCGATATAGCAATCATCTGGGTCTACACATGATCGGCAGCTATCGCCATAGCGGTGCACTTCCCTGGCATAGTGTGTTGCTATGATGATGTGGCAGCGAAATCTAACTGTGCACCATGCGCACAATGTAGTAACCACCTGTCCTGTACTGTGCTTTAGTAATTCCAAAAGAAAGTACTAAAGTATAGCACCATAGCAATGTCACTGTACAGTGATGTGTAGATGCGCCTACTATCTTAGATTTGAAACAATTATACATCAAATGTAGAACATTAACAGCAATAGCCCTGATTCAGGAAAGTGCATCCTTAAGTCCATCTCTACTCAGCAAAGCACTGAAACTTGCTGACATGCTTAACTGAAGTCAGGCCCAAATCAAAATGATTTGTTCCATGCTAGTGTATTTTAAGAAATGGTGGATTTAAACCTTTTGATATTTGGGAGTTATATTAATAGATGGCCAGGTAAGTTCTGGCACAAAAGTACTGAATAAAAAACAGACTTTCTCAGTGTTAGGTTACAAACCTGTGCTAAATGAGGATAGATAGGATTTGCAGTGTGACTTTGTGATTTCCATATAATCTTGATGCCTATCAGGTGGCAAACATGTAAGACTTTGACAGATCTTGACATGCCGTTTTCAAATCAATTGAAATTCACAAGAGAGCTGTTTCCTCAGGGCAATCAACAGATGTCCTTGATGATAAATCTTTTAACAGCCTTACATACTGTTGATAATGGTCTCATTTGTAGGGACTACAATTTTGTCACTTTTTGGATAGTGATGGTAGGGCAGATTGTGAAGCAACATGGAGTATAGTGCCATTATTACATGGATGGCACGCAGCTCTAAGTCATTTTTGGGGGACCAAGATAACACTATTTCTTTGCTCTCCCAGTATTTGGCAGAGACTGTGACCTGGATGAAAACCAGTTGGCTCAGATTCAATCAGTATGAAGCACAGTTAATGTTGATTGGCAGTAGAAAGCATTTTTGAAGAACTGGTAAAGCTTGCTGCTTCTCCTTAAGATAAAGCTGTTTGCCCACCCATGGTTAAACTGATTTTCAGTCTTGGAGTCTTGCTAGACTCTGCTCCTGGACTCCTAGATAGTAAAATGATCCTGGAACACATTTTGTGGGCTGCCGCTAAAGAAGAGATTGTGCACCTTCTCAGATGTGGCTTTGGTTTGTGAAGTCACATCTAAGTCTCTTCTATACAGAATTGTACCTGTTTTAATTAGCTAAAATCATTAAGAAAGCCCCATATGTCTAGACATTATTACATTTGTTTAAAACTAATTCTGTTGCTTTAGTATGAACCTCTAAATTTACCAAGGCAAACTAAGCCAGTATAAGCAAGACATAAATCACTTAAGAGGTCTCATACGTAGGTTTGCATCAGTTTTATTAAAACGTTTTAAAAAAAATGTTTAATTACACCACTACAATTGTGTGTGTAGATCAGGCCCAACAACCATAGCAGCCTGTACCTCCAACTACACTTAAAGTTTCTTAGAATCTAGTATTGACTGTGGTTCTCCTACTTTTTGAGTTGGGCAAGATGATTCAAATACCTTATATCTATACTCTATACTCTTCACCAGCTACCAGTCCATTTCTGGGTGAACTTAAGGGACCTCCTGTAATTAATGTCTTCAAAGGTCTCAGTCTTTCCAGTATCTTCAATTCCGTTTATCTTGAAAACTCACAAAAATGGTCATTTGTGACCCCTGCATTCAGTTGGACTACTTCAGCTATCTTTGCAAGGGCACTGTTCTTAGTGGCAGAACCTACTGTTTGGAATAGGTTAGGCAAATTGCTTGAGGAGGAAGTCCAGACCTGGTCACTTTTAGAGCTTAATGAAAAATGCATCTTTCTGCCCCAGCTTTTCATTAATTACGCTACCTGATTAGGCTGTCATTTCCACTGCTCATTACTCTATACCTTAATACTACAAGCAATTGAGTATATGCTCCCTTTTTAGTAATACCACTCTACTATTCCAAGCTATCTAAAGTCCCTAAGAATACTATGATAAGTGGTCTTTCTAAAAGCATATGATGATAAGGTGGAAATGATTCTCAAATATTTCTCTTTAATCAGTAAAAAAATCAAACAAGAACAATGATTTCAACTTTACATATATTCATGCACTAGGCTTTACTTTGTCAGTAGAGATATTTAGGTGCTAATTTCCTTCCATTTTCACTCTCTTTGCAGTTATTCCTAAAGTTATGATTGAACCATCAAGTCCATATAACATATTCAAAGGCAACAGTACACGTCTTAAGGGCAGCAGTGGTATGACCAATAGGGTTCCTGATAATGGAAGCACAAGACAGCCACTTAGACCACCACATATACCTGCTGTTATTACAGCAAGGCCTGCACCCAAGCCAACAGTAAGACCTACGCCCAAGCCAACTACCAGATTTGCACCAAAGCAGGTTACAACAAGACCAGTACTGAAACCAGCAACAAGGCCTCCACCACCTCCACAACCAACAACATCAGTGAGTACACCACCACCAGAAAGAACGCCAGGGTTAACAATGAAAGACCCTTCCCTTGTGCTTGCGGAAGCTACCTCTACCCCTGGAATTACAGTTGACAACAGGATACAAATAGATCCGCAGAAACCAAGAGGGGATGTTTTTAGTAAGTAAATATATATGTTCTTTCTTTAAGAGGATCTCTGAATTGCATTGTCTATATTGTCTTTGGACAGCTTGTAGGATATGAAATTGCAAAGGGAGACATCACAACGCAAAGAACTGATTCTTCACTTTGGGGGCCAGCATGAATAGCACGAAAAAAATTAGTTTTGGGGTAGCCTGAAATAATTTCTTGGTGAAACTAGAAACTGGAAAAAAAAACCCTGAAAGAATATTTTTGGGTCATTTCAGTTGAAAACATTTCATTTCAAAATGTTGAAAGGAAGTTTTTTAACTTTTCAGAAAAAAATTCCCCATTATTTTTCAGCCAAACACATTTGCCAACTTAATGAATAGTTTTTGTCACCCTGAACCTGTATTTTTGGCAGGTAATTTATATGTCCACCAATTTCATTCATTGTTCGACTGTAATAGCCTTTACCAATTCATTGCCTATAGACTGTTTAGTAATTCTGTACCATAAGTTTTATTGTACTGTATTCTGATAAATTATAAACCACATTAATCGCAAGTGCCATAATAAGCACTCTCCAGTACTTGAAGATTAATAGAAGCTTTTAAATTTAAAAAAGCTTGGAAAGGGACTATATGCCTATTGCGCTTATCCGAAGTATTTTAGACAATAGATTTACATTCTGAGATACTGAAAGGCAAGAGTATAACATAAGGCTGTAGGAATGTGACTGTAGGAATGGAAAGAAATGCCAGTGGATGGTATGATCTAACTTTTTTTGCGTTGTGTGAATTATGCACTCAAGCATCCTTTTAATATTTACTGCTAACAGGAAACTTGCATTAAAAATAACACTGAGGCTCACTTTATGGAATGTATCTCACAAAAATGGACTCCTGAAGAGCTCATGACACTGAAGATGCTCTTTGCATGAGGAAATATCATTTTGAGAGCTGCCCTGAAAGATATCGCGCCATTCGTGTGCCAGCTTTACTACATACCACAGATGACACTGCTGGCGCATGCACTTATGGCATGCCTGCCAAGAAATATTCAGCACCAGTTTCATCCTTAGTACTCTAGCTGCAGTTAATTTTAGAGAGTGGGAGGGTAGGGGAAAGATCAACTCTTTTTCTTCAGCTTGATGTATGATAAAGTCACTGAAGCTAATTAGGAGGGAAAATGTTGCATTCTCAGAGCAGATGGACAAGCGCTTGTGGTTTTTTAGGGGAGGGCAGGGTGCTTTGACTTTTATACATTAACTTTGTTGGGTGTTTTCTTTCAGATGATTACATAGAGAAATATGTCATTCTTTGTATATAGGTTTTGTTTTTCTGTTAATAGTTTATGTGCTACAGGCAGTTTGATTAACTTATAGTAGAGATAAAAACTGAACAAGAAAGAATTCAGGAAGATAAAAAAAAGATTTTCTGTCCTCAGACTACTCCAAAGGATTTTTTAAAAACTGTTTTATGAGCTTCATTTTTCATTTTTGAACAAGCAAGATAACTTGCTTGGCTTAAGAAACTGAATCTGAAATAAAAATGTACATATTTCTGGTTATTTAAAAACTGGTAAAGCCTATAGCTAGATGTGTTCTCAATGGAGTTACAGCAAGCCTATAAACATACATATAGGCTCATCCAAACTTCAAATAGCAAGAAGGACAACTGCAGACAACAGTTCTTTAGCATATTAAAAGCAATGTTAAATTATATATAGCTGTAAATGTCTTCCCTAATTTCCTTTATACCATACATGCCTAGACTGGTAATATTGTCATTTGTTCATCATCATATTTGGGGCTTAGTTCAGATAGTGCATGTTCTGTAAAGTAAAAAGTTCCTTCTGGTGGTTTCCAGACTTGAGAAACTAAATCACAGTTCTGCTGACACAACTTTTGTCAAGTTTCTGACAGCCAGAAAGAATGTATTAAGGTGGAAAGCAACATCTCGCTACACTAACATAACCGGGAACTAACTACACAAATCTGTAGCATGCTTTTCTCCTAACAAGTATTTTTGAAACATCCTATAGATTCTAGAGCAGAAAGATAATTTTCAATTAAATTCGTATACTCTAAAGTGTAGTGCTTCCATAAAGTCTTTCCAAAAGGGCTGTTCATTTTGTACAGATCAGGATATGTAGTTTTGACTTTTCAAAAGTGCAAAAGGGTTCTGTGTTTGTTTGCTTTTTTAGTTTGATCTTACATTGTTGAATCCACAACAAAACCCAGAAATTCTGTCCAGTGTGTCTGTTAAATGTTTATGTGAGGGCTCAGCAGCAGCTTTGTGGAATATATATTGTTGCCTAAAACCAGTTCTTTATTCTGTAGGACTTTCAGGCAGAGCACTATATTAAATGCACAGCTTGATCCTGAGCACCTGCTGCTGTCATTGGATTCAATAGGCTACAAAGGGTCTCAGTATCCCTCAGTATCAAATCCATAGGCATGTGCTTTTTAATCCTATATTATCCCTTCTCTTCATCTTTGACTAAAGATGTATTTGATTTACATCTGTCACAGCTGTGTAGTTAAAATCCTAAATTCTGTTCAGGCTCTAGATGTGACAATTTGTATAGCACCCTGGGGTAACCCAAAGCAAAGCTGCTTTGCTGTCATTTTAACGTTTTACTAATTTGCAGCTTTATAGAAGCCACAATGTGGTAGGCAATGCCCCATCCTCAGCCCCACACAGTCCTTGTCCCAGCATGAGCATTCGCTTGGAACATGAAATCTGCAGCCCATTTCCTGCTGCCATAGGGAGCTTTGAGTCTGGGGAAAGGTATTTAGAAAGGAAGCCACTGCATTTCCTCCCACAGGATGTTCAGAAGGAATGGCAAATCCCAACTGTTTTCAGTAGACTGGTTTGCTGTGTTCATTTCTCAACCTCATTACAAACCTACAGCCTACTTTATACGATGGCTGTTTTTAGTTTCTATATAGATGCAAAGTTTCATCTAAGAAGGAGATACAATACTCATCTATTTAGTGCAACAATTACAGTTATTGAAAGCTGTCCTCCCTGTCACCCCCGAGTTTTTTCATACTCTGACATTTAAATTCCCTGACTCCACATTTTTTTGTTGTGTGTTGTGACCCAGGTACCAAGAAGTGACCCCATGCTTCAGTATGCTGTGTTCATGAATAAGCTCTCCATCTCTTTCTAAAGGCTCATATTCCCTATTACACTACCTTCATCATCCTGATGACTAGTCACAGACATCACTGGAGCTCCCTTCCATCAGAATAAGGGGTCATATAGAATGTCAGCACCTTACAGTACTGGCATCTATGGACCCCTAGCATGCCAGTTAAAGAAACACCAGTAGTAGTGATTTGGAGATGGATTATCAGAAGAAAGGGTTTCAGTGGAGCATTATGCCTAGCACAGAGGAGCTGCCAACCTTGCTGATTTATCGAGCTCTTGCCTGCTCCCACTCCTGGTTGCAGCTGTACATTCTTGGGCAGCTGAAGAGGATTGTTCTCAACTTCATTTACAGTGCAACAGCCAAGTTCAAAGCCAGGCTCAAGGAGATCTTTTCCTTTCTCTGAATTGTCTCCAGCTCCTCATCCCCTGTCTCTGCCTCTTCTTTTGTTGCCTGTAAATTCCTTGTGGGCCAAAACCCCATTGCAAAATACAGGGAAGATTTTACAGTTGATTGGGACCATTTCAAAGAAAGAGTACCCAGTGTTCTCTCCAGGTAGGTAACAACTGGTAGCTTACATCAGTAGGCAGATACCTCCACTTTAGCAGGTCCAGGCAGAGAGCCTGACCTTGACTATGTTCAAGTTCAAATGCAGTATTTGATAATTGCTTCAGTCCAGTAGTGACATCTCTCCAAGATCCACTTGCAGTTGGACAAACTGGAATGCAGAAGGATAAGGCATATAAAGCAAGACAAAAAATAGTCAAACAAAAATCCATACAGCACACTGAAAGCCAGGGAGGGATTGCGAGACTACTTCTCTTTCAGGGTGTGCAGCTTTTAATTGCTGCATGGTGCTTAGACACTATAGTGACAGGTGCTTTAGTAATATGATACGTTAGATGGACAGCGGTTCAAAGCTGTTCAGATATTTGAGACAGCGTATGAGACAGCTGTGGTTCTTAGGCTATTGACATTCATTTTCTTTCCATGCATAATGAGAAAACAGCTTGCCAAAAGTGGATCAAAACCTGAATCTCATTTGTGGGTTGAGAAATTTTTTTAGAGACCTCTGGGATATTAATCAAAAACTTGAAATCAAGCAAGGTTGTTATAGTTTCTCCTCCTGTCACTCCCATATTAATACCATTTGATACGATTTACTGACCAGTAAGAGATTTACAAACATTCTACATTTTTTGCCATGGCTGATTCTCATACTGCAGCGTGTTTGCTAGACCACCACCCATGACCAACCCTGGTCAACGCCCTGCACTCAAGCCCTAGAGCAGAGCTTTCCAAACTGTGTGCCGTGACACATTAGTGTGTCGGCGGCAGTGTGTAGGTGTGTCGCGCGAAATGCAGAAAATTTTGCGGAAGGGCACCACGGAGCTCCCTTACTCGCGTCTGCTTCCCTTGGCCCCTCCCCCGGAACTGAATTACTGTGTTGCGAAATGATGCATGTCTAAAAAGTGTGTCACCAACATGAAAAGTTTGGAAAGCTCTGCCCTAGAGAGTGGTAATTGGCCTCCATGTCTGGCAACATTAACTTGTGGTGTTCAGAAATCACTTGGAGCCAAGGAGTCAGATGGGGGCTGCATTCTAAGTGATCACCACTGTGCAACAAAACCACCATTTCTAACTGGCTTACATTAGAGCCTCTTAAACAGGGACAGGCAGTTATTTCAGACAGAGAACCACTTACCGAGTTTAGGCAAGCTCTCGAGGGCCACATTGGTAGCCCCACCTCTTGACAGGTGCCCCACCCCCCAGTTGCCATCTTGTGTTTGGAAGTCCCACCCTCTAACCTCTGCCAGCAGAAGGCCCTCCCCTTGCCCCCAGAAGGGGTTTTGCCATCTCAGAACCAGAAAAATACCAAA